GCTTTGTTTTCGAGATATTCAGGTGTTCCGGTATATAATATTCACCCTGTATAAAATCACAAGTATATAACATAAAATATTAATCTTATTTATAATCATTCCGCGGTCATCTATATAAACTTTAAAACAAAATCACAATGTTCTACGCAGAGGCCACTTTAACACATTAACTAAAGATAATTATAACACAATCATTCGCGATCGCTACTTCGCGATGCGCGGAGACCGTCGCCGCTCAGACTCTTACTTTTCCCAACTAATCTCTCCTTCTTCTTTCTGTTTTAGGTGCTGTACCCGGAATTGGACTCGGCTCAAAGACTCGGACGCCTCGGACAGGATCCGGACCCCGGACACCTCATCACTCAGGGATCTGGTAAGTATTTCCTACATTAATTTTCCTTTTCAAAGTCTTCACGACGTCGCTCTCCAGCTGCTCGGTCTCAGGTAAGTATCTGATCTTTTTCTTGCAGGTCAGCGAAGTCGTCCGCCGATCTATACAACCGCAGGTACGTAAGTACTTTATCTTACGAACTATCGCTCACTCGGCGTTCACACGGCTCCCGTTCGGATATATTACTCGCGCGTGTCTCACTCACCCGATGTTCGGCTTGACTCAAAACCTTCCTCTCGGAAAGTAGACCCGTCTCGCGTATTTCTCACTCTCGGTCGAGTTGCCTTTCCCGTGTCTTATGTAGTCTACTATCTACTAGGGCTCTACGACCGCGTTCAACCCTTTGCTTCGTTATTCGGACCGTCTCGCGTTTTCTATTCACAAGGCTTGTTCGGCTCGACGATCCTACATGTAGTCTACCGGTTTTCTCTCTCAACCAACTACCCTCTGCTCGCGTGTTTGATCCGTCTCACGACTCCTATACATAAGGCTTGTTCAGCTTGACGATCCCGCGTGTATTCTACTAGTTTTTTAGCTCGACCGGTCACTTATTACTCGGAGATTATGCGCCTCCCGGCCCGAACGTGTGCTGCGTCCGATAATTTCCTTAAAATTATGTGTAGTCTATACTTATTACTAACCTAACCTAACTTACTACTCTAAAACTACGCCCGTCTCAGACTCGCCGCCCGGGGCGTTATCTTGTCCTCGGTGTGATACCTGTATTCTACTATGTATCGATCGTCTGTGTCCAGTAAATCCGGCGTTTCCGGGTCTTCCGTCCCGCTCGGCTCTCCTGACGTCGCTGGCTGCTCCGACCGTTCCTGGACGTTTCCTCCGGGCACGGACGTCCGCGTGAGTTCGGACGGCCTCCTCTCTCTCTCCTCCGGTTCGGCCGGCCGTGTCACTGCAGCTGGAAGTTCGGACGGCCTCCATTCGTTCCCCCTCGGTTCGGACGGCCGCGTTTCGGCGTACCCGGGTTCGGATGGCCCTCGCTCCGGCATAGAGTAAAGTCGGGTTAGTTTAGGCTGCGACCCCTTGTATTTTGACGCAATCTCCGCGTTCCCGACCACCGCCGGTGTCGGTTCGCGCCTCCGCGCGCAATATGTTCCTCGACTCTTCTCAGCGGTCTAGGCCGATCGTCACCGCTTTCTCGATGCTTACCCGACTCTGCTTAGTGACCTTAAGGGTGGATGGGGCACTGCGCCTGCAGATGTTTTCTGCTGCACTCTCTCGTCTGGCGACATGTCCGCGATTGGTACGGGCGCGGGCTCGTCGTCATCCGATTCCTCAATGTCGGAGGTGGTTAGGATGCTGAAGAGGCGGCTAAACCCTGTCTTGCGTGCTGCTGTAGTCATCGCTTTACGTCGACGTTCCTTTTCGAGCCTGATCATTGTCGCTTCCTCTGACGGGACTCCGTGTGCTTTAATTCTCCACGTCTCTTAGACTTTGTCTTTGGTTAGGGCCTTGCGATGGTGATGGCTTCTCAATCTCGATTCCTTTCCAATCCATCTTGTAACGTGTTCATCGGTACGCCTTTGGTCCTTAGTACGTGTGTCTACCTGGTGATGGGTTTTGATGCTCATTGTTGTTCTTCGTTTTGAGTCCAGTATTAGAGTGTCGATTTCCAGACGTGTCGATTTCCTTTAAGCGATTCAGTTTGACTACCGCTTTTGCTTCTAGTTTGAAGTCCGTCCTACTTCTTGTTGTCTCGGTCGCCTTACTTATCTTTTTCTTCTTCGCCGATGGTGTCCTCGATGATGACGACGAGTACACCTCGCTCCATGTAAGTTTTATTGTCGTTTTGCTCGGCGATCGGACTCTCCATTGCGGACATTCCTCGTCCGTTGACTCTTCCTCAAAGGTGTGTTCCCAGCGCACCTCTCGTGTTTCCCATCTTTCGCCTTCTCGCGACGTGCTCGGCCTGGGGGTATCAGGACTCATTTCCTGCTCTTGGCTCGACGCTCGTATTTCCTCGTAATACATACGTTCGGTCTTTCTACGCGGCTCGACACTTGCTACTATTTCAGCTAGAGAGGCCTCACGGAGTGCTATCAGCCCCTGCATCCTGTGGGCCTCTCGGTCGAGTCGCTCGCACTCTTCTCGCTCCATCCTTCTTTTGGCTGCTTTAATTTCGTCGTCTAGCTGTTTGAGACGATTCGCGAGACGTTCGTTGTGTCTGCGTTTCTCGTTGATGTCCATCTTGCCCTGCGAACACAAATGTGCAGAGACTAGAGTATCTAGAGTGGTCTAGATTTTGCAATCGCCTTGGCGAAGGCCTTGCGATAGAATGCGGGAAGCTCTTTATTGCTCGTCGTGATAAAGACAATTTGGTAGGGAGACTTAGGAACGCTGCGGCGTGTGACGGATGTTGGGGCGTCGCGATTTGAGGCTAACAATACGTCGCGAAGCGCTGACGGTGCCCTCAATCTTGCTACCGCCAGACTCCGGACTGTCGGCCCATCTTACACACTTTTTACGAGGTACTCGTACGACCTCCCAAGTATCGTCCGTATCTGGGGGCTATTCGTACGTATCGTCTATGTGGCGTCTTACTCTGGGGCGAATCCTGTATTCCGCGCTCGACTCGGAGCTTGAGTTCGTCCGCGCACTATCTTGTACTGACTGCGTTTCCTGCGTTTCGCGACTGGTACTAGGCCTACTTCCGTCCTGGATAAGTCGTGGGGCGCTGACGGTGCTCCCGCGCTCCTGCCAGACTCCACACTGTCTGTCCACCTCATTCACCTGCGGCGGGGTACACGCGCGAGCCGCCACGGCTTGTTTGTCGGCGTTGCCTATGAATCGCAAATCTTCGAAAGGATTAGCTCTAGAAGTTTCCCTAATCGCGAAACGCGGCGCTTCGCGTTGTTCGGCGGGCGATGTCCTAAGTGTATGACGCTCCGACGTGTAAATGTCAGGATACGGTTTGTAAACGTCTTCGTCGACGATGAGTTGTGAGCATTCCACGGGAGGAATGAGCGCGTTGTGCTCCTCCGAGTACCCCCTTTGATCCGTGGTCGCCGACGCGACCGATCTCGCGTCGTTCCCGCTGACCAAGGATGTCGCACTATCGTATCGCTTCTGTACCCTGTACGTACTCCACGTCTCGGCGCTCGCTTTCGCTTTTGTCGACGCGGTGACCGGCGCCGACGGCGCCGCGGACGCGCTCACACGCGCAGCGGATGACTCCATTAGTCGGACTAATGTCTCAAATTTGCTTTCTACGTCGCGTCCGATCCGCTCTATCTTGTCATCTAATTATAAGTTTATTTCGCTAATACGCGTTTCGAGTCTGCCTAAATCTATGGCCGGTTGTCCGGGCAGCATCGTGCTGTGAAGCATCGACGCTTCGGCGCTCCCCCAGGACGCCCGCGTCGATCCCTCGCGAATATTCAATCGCGCTGACGGTGTGACGATTTTGCTCGTGTCGGATAGCGTTGCCCCTCTGGAAACGGCGTCGCTCACGCTCGTCATGGACGCCGACTTGGAGAGCGTCGACTCTATCGGATCCAGTCTCGACTCGCGCAAGATAGGTTTGGGTTGCCCATATTCCCGTCCCGATCTAGTCGTAGATCTGTCGTCCGCCTGTTTCCCTAACTCTTCGATGGACTTTGACGAGAACATTTTGTTTCGCTATCGTTTTTGGAGTTCCCTACCGCGTTTACTATCGTTCGTGATGCGTATCTTAACCTGTTACTTCTAAACGGTAAGGTTCTCAGCACTCACTTGGCCGTTGGGGAGCTTAATCTATTGTCCCTTTTGTACTCTACGGGTTCTCGTTGTCGACTACAGTCGATTATGTTCGATCGGGACAAAGTTGGAAAGTAATGGTCTTTCACGGTTTTCACGTGTCTCAATAGGTTGTGTTTACTGTCTGGGTTCGTCCCAATTCAAATTTGAAATTTTGAAAAACCTGATAATCTTGGAAAAATTGCGTCTCACTGAAAATATGGGTTAATTTGGACTATTCTATGTTTATTATATGTAATCTACTTTGTCCCAGGTTCAACTGACAATCCTAAGTTGTATTTCTGAATTCTACGTTAAATAATGCTCACTCGGCAAAAATATTATGTTCAACGTGTTGTACTAATGTTGACTAAGTGTATGAGCTAAAGTTTGACTTTGATTAAAAGGCTTTAATTTTGAAAATAAATTTGTGTCGACCTTAATTGAATGTTTATAAGAAGAAATACTATAGATTACATGTAATCTACTATTTTTCTATAGTCGGATATGTTTAAGTAGAACGATTACTATTTAGGTGTCTGACACGTTTTGGCAATTTTTTCGGAAAATTGCGAAAATTGACAATAAATGCTATGTTGTATAGCTGGCGCACCATTAATTCTTTCCAAATTTGTATCGATCATTGAATTCGGGTCACGCTGACGTGTATTATAGGTCAAAATAGGTTTTTATAGGGAACCAGTGAAAAATGGGTGAAAAATTTAACATTCAACCTCGATGCTCGGTGTACACCTTGCGCCTGTGCTTCTCCTGCTTTTGAGATGGTCAAATTTGTGTATTTCAGCGTAATTTGTTATTTTTACAGATATTCAAGTGTTTACGATAAAAGTGAATTTTTTAAAAAAATTAGAGAAAATTTTGAAAATTTTATGATGGAATGTTTGAGTATTTATGGAAGTCCTGCTATAGAGATCAAAATTTGTACAAAAATATATTTATTAATACTATTTATCTTCTAACTAAGGTTTTTAGGTACTTTGGTAATTTTCAGAAAAATTGGGAAAAAATTTATAATTTTTATAGTCGAATGTTCGAGTACTTATGGTATTACTGCTTTAGAAATCAGAATATGTTAAAAACTGAATTTAATTATAGTATTTGTACTCTAACTAAGGTTTTTAGACACTTTGGTAATTTTCAGAAAAATTTGGAAAAATCTATAAATTTTATTGTCGATTGGTCTTTAATTAGTAAATGTCTCATTAATGCAGATGGTATTTGTTGAAAAATGTTGTTAATTTGATCAAAATACTCTGTCACAGGTATTGCACAAGGGAATCCTAACCCCACCTGGCACTGGTCTTATCCTTGTAATTAATAGTCGTAATCACTTATAACTAAGTGAGCAAGTGTCTTTCAATGAGCTAAAAGTGTGTGCCAACTCGTGTTGCTCTAGGTATTCTGGGTGACGAGTTGGGTTTTGTAAGCTATCTCAAAAAATGTTGTCGAAATGACTCTAATTTTGATACAATTTAATTAATTAAAAATTAACTAATAATCCGACTCGACTGGTTCCAGTCTCGTCAGATCCAGAATTTAGAACTGTAATTGTGATATTAATTTCAAATGAATAATTTCCCTGATTATCCAGTAAAAAACTCTATTCCAAAATTTTGTCATTCCTCGACTCAAGTTCAAATCTATGACAGCCTATATCTGGAGAATAGCTTAGCCGATTCAATTCAGGTTTTAAGACGGTTTTTAGTCACTAATTATCTCAAACTATAAAAAATTTCGCTGAGCTAGGAAGCTCCTGTGCGAAGATGCTCTTGTCACTACTATGTAAATTTTCCAAGTATGGAAAACGAGTCTTTTTCGCGATAATTCGCTTAATTCTTATCCGATTTTAATTATCTTTAATGGACTAGGATCGCGCACACTGTACGATTCTGTATCTGTAGCCACGATTTCCCAGGATTATCGGAAAGTGAAGTTTTATCAAAAAAGATTCAGCTCATTTGGATCTCATTTGCATAATGGCTGTCTGCAGCTATTTTATTCTATATCTCGCGTTATACTTTACAGAATTGAATGCGGCTAAGCTAGTTGGCGTCGTAATTTAATATTCTACTCGAATCTCTAATATCAGGGCTCGGAAAGGTCGGCGTCGACCTCTATATCCCTATCAAGGTCCCTGTCAATATCATTGTCACTCGCGCGCACTATAGACACAGACACTTAGCTCTACCGCTGCTGAAATTGACGCACGGTGATAACACTTATTTATACACGTTCCTACCTCGCAATTATGCCTCCGGAATACGCGTTCTCGGCGACGGCCTGGTTCCTCGACGATTTCTCGTCGGCGGTGACGTTTAGGGGTTATGTCGTCCGGCGCGACAGACCTGGGTACGAAATTGGCGATCTCCCGTGATCACCCGCGTTCCCGATCCTTGCCTCTCGACGACGAGGGCTTGTTCCCCGAAGATCTCTCCCCGGGTATCGCACCAAAGACACTCGCGTTTCTCCGCGATACGGACACGATCGAAACAACTCTCACACTGCTCGCGGCGGATGCGTACCGACCTAGGGCGGCTTTTTAATGCGCGTTCACACCGCGGCTCTCGACGACAATGTCCGCGTCGCGTTATATAACCTATAAATCGAGCCGATGCTTTTTAATGACGAACGATCGCGCGTGTCACCTCGCACTCTCGATATGGCCGAATTTTATCGCTTTCTTCTCAAAATACTTGTAAATTAATGGAGGCGTCTCCGTACGACGTCTTACACCGGATTTTCACCAATTTATGTAGAATTACGCGGCGGAATACCTCACGACTTACGCGTTTGCAGAAATATGTCGCGGCGTCTCCGAGATGTCTTACGCGTTGAAAAGTTAATGTATCGCGGCGGAATCCCTCATGACTTACGCGAATATGGAATTATGTTAATTTACGCGGCAGAATCACTCACGACTTACGCAAATGTAGAATTCTTCGACGACGACACTGTTGTATTGTACAACCCCCCGGAAATTAGTAATTCGTAAAAATTTTGTCACAACGCATACGTAACACTAAATCCTGTCACGGTCGCTACTTTAGATACGAAGTGGGCCGCGAGATCCTATCACGGTCGCCACTTTAGACTTAAGGAAGTGGACGAGTCATGAGAGGTGATATTTTCGTTCTCGATTGAATTGGCGGTTCACTAGATCTATAATCCCGTGTAACCGGACTTCGGATGACTGCAGGCAAGCAGTGAACAATTTAATATGTCGGCGTTGTGCTAACCCGGGACTTTACTTGCTTCTAAACGTTTTGATCCTATTTATTGTATTACGCACGTAGGTAACGATTGCCACTCGTTCATAAAGGATACCGACGTCGTCCTCGCTAGCGCGGATGAACAGAAGTTCGCGGGGAGCAATATAAATTGACTAACCGGTATGATGAACTTGTACTTTATTCGCCGTCCTGGCGTCAGTAGTGGTCGTCGGGGAGGTCGTCGTCAACGTCACAAAGTGCTGCTTTTCCCCACGGCACGTCCGATACCATCAACGTCTGTTTCCTTAATGGCGGAGAAGAGGCCGATCTAGAATCGGTGCTCGGGATCTCACCTCGCGCGGAACTGCCGCCCCTAGCGGCGTGGTGTCCCAAGCTAAACTACTACTCGGGGAATTGCCACCGCACTTACGACCACGACCACAATCTCCCTAGACACTCAACAAACATAAAATACATTATGTGGCGCGAATTAGCGCGATACAAACATAAAGCAACTTACTTCTAATTACCGCTCGACGCGTGCACATTACATTTATATGAATATACGTATGTATACATATATAAAATCACAAGTATATAAAATAAAATATTAATCTTATTTATAATCATTCCGCGGTCATTTATATAAAATCTAAAACATAAAATCACAATGTTCTACGCAGAGGCCACTTTAACACATTAACTAAAGATAATTATAATACAATCATTCGCGATCGCTACTTCGCGATGCGCGGAGACCGCCGCCTCACAGACCCTTACTTTTCCCAATTAATCTCTCCTTCTTCTTTCAGTTTTAGGTGCTGTACCCGGAATTGGACTCGGCCCAAGGACTCGGACGCCTTGGACAGGATCCGGACCCCGGACACCTTATCACTTAGGGATCTGGTAAGTATTTCCTACATTAATTTTCCTTTTCAAAGTCTTCACGACGTCGCTATCCCGCTGCTCGACCTCAGGTAAATATCTGATCTTTTTCTTGCAGGTCAGTGAAGTTGTCCGCCGATCCATATGACCGCAGATACGTAAGTACTTTATCTTACGAACTATCGCTCACTCGGCGTTTACACGGCTCCCGTTCGGACATATTACTCGCGCGTGTCTCACTCACCCGATGTTTGGCTTGACTCCTGACCTTCCTCTCGGAAAGTAGACCCGTCTCGCGTATTTCTCACTCTCGGTCGAGTTGCCTTTCCCGTGTCTTATGTAGTCTACTATCTACTAGGGCTCTACGACCGCGTTCAACCCTTTGCTTCGTTATTCGGACCGTCTCGCGTTTTCTATTCACAAGGCTTGTTCGGCTCGACGATCCTACATGTAGTCTACCGGTTTTCTCTCTCAACCAACTACCCTCTGCTCGCGTGTTTGATCCGTCTCACGACTCCTATACATAAGGCTTGTTCGGCTTGACGATCCCGCGTGTATTCTACTAGTTTTTTTTTTAGATCGACCGGTCACTTATTACTCGGAGATTATGCGCCTTCCGGCCCGAACGTGTGCCGCGTCCGATAATTCCCTTAAAACTATGTGTAGTCTACACTTATTACTAACCTAACCTAACTTACTACTCTAAAACTACGCCCGTCTCAGACTCGCCGCCTAGGGCGTTACCTTGTCCTCGGTGTGATACCTGTATTCTACTATGTATCGATCGTCTGTGCCCAGTAAATCCGGCGTTTCCGGGTCTTCCGTCCCGCTCGGCTCTCCTGACGTCGCTGGCTGCTCCAACCGTTCCAGGACGTTTCCTCCGGGCACGGACGTCCGCGTGAGTTCGGACGGCCTCCTCTCTCTCTCCTCCGGTTCAGACGGCCTCCGTTCGTTCCCCCTTGGTTCGGACGGCCGCGTCTTGGCTTACGCGGGTTTAGATGGTCCTCGCTCCGGTATACAGTAAAGTTAGGTTTGGTTAGGCTGCGGCCCCTTGTATTTTGACGCGACCTCCGCGTTTCCAACCACCGCCTCGGTGTCGGTTCGCGCCTCCGCGCGCAATATACTCTTGGCAGCAGTCTAGGCCGATCGTCACCGCTTCCTCGATGTCTACCCGACTCTGCAGTGGCCTTAAGGATGGATGCGGCCACTGCGCATAGAAGGAGGAAAGCATACTAGGTGGCGGCTAGACGCTGTGCGTTCGAGATCTGCGTATCTTTTTCGTTCCAGAAAGAGAAAAATCGAGAGCGCGGTCCTGCTAGACCGGGACTCGAACCTGGGTCTTTCGCTTGCCGGGCGACTGCTTTAAAGCACTGCCTTAGGTGGCTGAGTCAGATACGATCTTGCCTTATGTGGTTGGTTCAAATACGTTTTTGTCTTAGATGGCTGAATTATCAATGGCTCTGTTTTAAATTAATGGATCAACGATCAACGACATTATCTCTAGTTTATGAGCTATTATTTGACACAAAGAACATGGTGACCTTCATATAATTTTTTGAGATTAATTGAGCCGCATATGTTACCCCATGATTTTAAATTATTTTCGTTTTTACTGTAAAACTTGAAGAAATGAAAATATTAGGAACAACCTCCAATCGCCTTGACCTTGTTCAGGGCCTTGACAAATGTTGTCATGGCCCTGAACAACATTTAAAAGATTTTAGTCGTCGGTCGAACACCTTAGGTACCAATGCTAATGGCAACAATATTGTAATTTTGAAGCCTTTTAACTCGAAAGATACTTAATAAAAAAATATTTTATTATAGTGTTTTGGAAAACTCTCGAAATATGCTACAAGAATATTTAATGAAAAATGGAGGTTTCCATTTAAAAAATTCAAAATGACCTTGTCCTGATCTCGACGACGCCACTCGAGGTCAAACCAATGTCATCTTATGTCGCTCTTGAAATCTCAAAATTTTTATCTGAAACATTTTGCCCTAAAATACACTGTTTAAGAGATATTTGAGGTAAACGATTAAAATAGGACACTCTGTATACATTATAGTGAAACCTATATTTTAGTCAAGAATTACTCTTTGAACCGCTTTTAATATATACGTACATATATATTCAAGTAAATTTACAAGTCAGAACCACAATTATTTTCGATTATTAACAATACCTTGAAAACCAAACAGAACACGTAGCACCTATAGCAGAACGGTACCTCGTACGAGCAAGCCCGGAAAGAGTCGTCCATCTTGTGGGAGCTCGACCCGCGTCGACGCGTTAAGAAGGCCCTAAGCCTCTCTGCGACCGTTAAACTCGCTTCAAGGATCTGTACAAATAATTCTAAATTGTAGATTTTTACCACTATTATCTAAATGTTAATGATAAATTTAGGAAACAACGAGCTTTAATATAAAATATATATTAAATATTCACCTATTCAAAATTACTATTTGCAGACAATTTTTATATTAGAAATTATTAAATTTATATAATATTAACCTAAGGACAATTAGAGTTCAAGCACAGGTTGTATAGTGCTATTATAAACTATTAAAACATAGTGACACAATCTCGCCATGAGAACAAATTTTATTACATATCATACGCGTTTCGGTCTTATTTCACAGACCCTCTTCAGTGATTACAAGTAACGTTTTAGTGTCGCAAAAAATAAAAAATTTTAAAAGTTAGTGTTAACATAGGTTGTTACAGAAAAAATTGTCGCTACAAGTTTTTTTGTATACGGGATTCGGAAGCACAAACATAATATATTATTTACACAATGAAATGTTTCATTTTCGGAAGCTACTGGCAATTTATTCCGAGACTGGTCACTCCATCGCACGTACTAAGATGCTGTGGTATGATCATCTAAACACGTATTAAGATAGAGCAACCAACCCCAATGTGAGGGGAAAAAAAACAAAACAATGATATATACCTCGATAAAGGCCAGAGAGTTCCGGTGAGATGTTACGCCTATGAACGTGTATCTCCGAATGCCGCATACAATACAGAATCCAGTGTTTATATTTACTTCGCAACCGCAAAACGAAATACGATTTAAGTCAATCCGAGTAACATGTTGTAACATTTTCCTAAATTCTCAGTGTCAGTATGAGAATTCAGTCCATGCGTCTGCATTTTTATAAAAATCATCTCTGCAATCATTCTTTTATAAAATAGATGTTCCTTATGCAAAACTTTGACATTATCCCATTTAAATTCGTGGTCGTAATTAACACGGTGCTCTTGTACAACAGAGAGATGCGAAGTAAAGTCTCGAGGTAGTCGTTTATGCTCAGATACACGAGTGGAGAGCCTTCTGCTCGTTTGACCAACATAAGACGAGTCACAGTCCCGCACTCTAACCTATATACAACGTTATTCAGAAGATTCAGAGGCAAAGCGTCTTTATGAACACGAACCAGACCAGAAAGCTTGTTCATAATACTAAAACTTGAAACCTTATTAAATT